CACACACACACACACACACACACACACACACACACACACACACACACACACACACACCACACACACACACACACACACACACACACACACACACACACACACACACACACACACACACACACACACACACACACACACACACACACACACACACACACACACACACACACACACACACACACACGCATTTGCGAGTACTGTAAGGTATCCGGTAGTGGATTTCCGCTCCTCCTGGTCGCGGCTTCGAAATGACGCATCAGAGATACTTCGGCTGAAAAGCCTTTCTGGCTACTGTCAAACACTAGTCCTAGGTTCTCAGCACGTGGCTTAATTCATTCGGCCGGTTGCATGCCCAAGCTGCGCCGAGCTTCGGCCACCGCGCGGCCTTTCCTTAGCTGCTGCGCAAGTTTGCAGACAGCTTGTCTCTCCGAGCCAAGATACGTCCTGTCCGGCTGCCAGCAGCACCGCAACAAGAAGACGCTTTCAAGGCCACGGTACGCCGAGCCCCGCAAAGGCGGGCTTTGCCGGCTGCTGCTCACGATATGCTCCGGCCTAGGTTGCTGCCGCCCATCGGGGGCTTTGCCAGCTGACGCTCAAGACGCGCGGGCTTTGCCTGCTGACGCCTACGACGCTCGAGCTTTGCCAGCAAATTCTCAGCCAGGGGTCGCGGGAACTACCTACTACCGACTACCTTCTACCTTCTCCCCTCTACGTACGACCTATACCTACTACTACCTACTACCAACAACTCACTACCGACTATACTACCTACTACCACCTGCTACATACTACCTACTACCTACTACCTACTACCTACTACCTACTACCCACTACCTACTACCTACGACCTACTACCAACTACCTACTACCTACTACCTCTTGACATCGAGACACTGTGTTGGATGGAGAACGCACCATGCTTGTGGCGCGGCGCTTTGTTCCGGAAGTTTCGGCCTTGCAGGGGAAGGGCGGGGCTGCAGGGGTTAAGGAGGGTTTAAGGTTAACTCTTAAAACTGCTGGGTTTAGGCTATAGGGTTTAGGGTTCGGGTTTAGGGTTTGGGCTTTTGAGTCGAAGAAGAAACCCTAGACCTCCTTCCCGAAGTGAGGGCTTAGGTTTAGGCTTACGGTTTAGGGTTTAGGGTGTAGGGCTTGGGGTTTAGGGTTGAAGGTTTGGGGTTTAAGGTTGAGGGTTGAGGGTTGAGGGTTTAGGGTTTAGGGTTTAGGGTTTAGGGTGCAGGGCTTGGGGTTTACGGTTTAAGGTTAGGGTGTAGGGTTTAGGGTTCAGGGTTTAGGGCTTAGGGTTTAGGGTTTAGGGCTTAGGGTTTAGGGTTTAAGGTTTAGGGTTTAGGGTTATGCGCTGCATGCAGAGAGGCAGAGCCGCCGCACCAGTCCTTGGAGATTCTGTTTTCTTCTCGAAAACATCCACAGGTTTAAACCTCTAGGGTTTGTGGGTTTGTGGCTGAGTTGTCAAGGAATGTGTTTCGACTATGGACTTTTGGGGTTTACAAACTGCTGCCTGAATCCCCTGATCCGCCAAAAGTAAACCCTATAACTCACTGGGAGCCTCGGGTGAGGGGAGATGCGCTGGTGCAGCAACTTGTTGTAGCTTTTGCACGCTATATATATATATATATATATATGTATATTTAAAAATATATATCATACACCTTCCAATGTGTTTTCATTATTTATCTGACATCACAAAGCATATATATATATATATATATCGTTCATAAACTGTTTTCGAATATCCACGAATATACAATAATGATCCACCAAATATTATGGTTGATGTAATACATAGACAAACAAGTGAAGGAATTGTAAGAGGTTCGATGAATGAAGGTCATCAACCACAAACGAATAATTATGCATTTCAATAAACCATTTATCAAAAATCAATATAGAAAAATAAAATATGTTAAAAAAGATAAAAGAAAACTGTAAACAATATAACGCTTACATGTTGCATGTGTATATATATATATATAATGTATATGCTATACAGACCTTCGGGTTCAGGTTGATTCGCGGAGACTCACTCACTGCCTGCGCACGGCGGCGTACGAAGTCCAAGAGCTCATGCTCTTTCCTGGCCAGCAGAAGGATCGGGCGCAGAACATAAAACAACGCCCGCAACGCCAAGCTCTGAAACCATCTAGGCCCGGACAACGGGAGGAGCTGAGCAGCAAAGAGTTTCAACATCCTACATGAACTTTCACGGTTCCAAAAGTTCGGAAAAAACCTCCAAACTACAACGCCACGCAGCCCGTCATCTCGTGAGAAGCTCCCCGACTTCCTGCGTCCCTCAGTCCCTGCCCCCCTTCTGCGAAGCCCCGGGCGCCCAAACCCAACTCCCCCGCCACCCTCGGCCCAGCTGAGGGCACGACCGAAGGTTCCTCCGCATGGGCGAAGGCATGGCCGGAACCGGTGCCCCTCCGGCCTTGCGCGCGTGCAGCGTAGGGCGTTGCAGGTTTCTGGTACGTGAAGTGGACCTTTGAGATACACTAAACCCTCTAAGCCCTGCCCCACCCACCTTTGAGATCCTAAACGCTAGAATCAAAACACCTGCAAACCCTCTACCTCTACACCCCAAAAACCCGACGCAACTCCACGGGCTGTACACACCGTAAATTCCCCAACACAAACCCTACCAACCCTAAGAACCCTCAATAAACCGTATAAACTTGCGGGCGTTGTTGGGCCACATAGTTTCAGGGTGCCTCAACAAGTGCAGCTCGAATCCCTCGAATCCAAAGTCTAGGAAGTTTATGGCTTAGGGCTTGGGATTCTGAACAGATTGCCTCCCCAAGAAGTCCACAGATTCAATCGGCCACTATGAGCCCCACAGTCCTCTGGGGGCATAAGCTTGGCCTTAATTTAAGCCCTAAAGCCCCTAAAGCCCCTAAACCCTAAGCCCTAAACCCTAAACCCCAAACCCTAAACCCTAAACCCTAAACCCTAAGCCCTAAACCCTAAACCCTAAACCCTAAACCCTAAACCCTAAACCCTGAACCCTAAACCCTAAACCCTAACCGGGAGAGGCCTGGTGCGCCCAGGCCACGGCATTCCACACGGCGCCTGCGGGGCTTAGGGGCTCTTAAGGCGTCTGAAGGCCTGGGGGCTCCTCCAGTCGCCTGAGCCCTCATTAGAAGCTCAAGATGCTTCGTTGCGAATTGTATATACTTCTATTGGAATTTCATTTATCTTCAGACTCATATTCTTCTGCTTTCATTTGTTGAAAGATAACGCAATAACCATTCTGATGCACGAAATGATCTAAAAATCCAATCTACGCCTGGTACAAAAACAGGAGTACAAGGGGTCCGGCCGTCTGCGTCGTGCATGCGCTGTAGGCGCATGTCCTCGATGAGCGCAACGGCCTGGCTCGGAGAGTTCGGGCGCCCGCGATTCGTCCCTAAAAGGGTTTTAGGGCTTTGGGAGGCTTAATTAAGGTTGTCGCCTACACCCCTCCACCCCCCCAATACAGGGTACGATCGTAGGTAGAAAGAGATATGTTGGGTAGCTTGTACTAAAACATGAGGTAAGGAGAACAAGGAGATGACCCTGGCTATTCTTCTGAACCCTGAACCCTGAACCCTGAACCCTGAACCCTGATCCCTGATCCCTGATCCCCGTTGAGTCTGCCTTCTGCGGGAAGCGTTTGGAGTTCCACCATGATGTTGGGCTGATTCAGGGCGGGTTTCAGGTTTAGGGTTCAGGGTTTAGGGTGTAGGGTGTAGGGTTTAGGGTTAGGGTTTAGGGCTAGGGTTTAAGGTTTAGGGTTCAAGGGTAGGGACCAGGGTTTGGGGCTGCAGGTTTTGGCCCCTGGAAGCAGAGAACGTGCTCCGGGGCCCGGGGGAGGCCTGCGTCCAGGCTTGCCCAAGCCCACCTCAATTTGAAAGGGCCTTAAGGTTTCGGGTTTTGGGGAGAAGTTTTCAGTTTTGGGTTTCTAGGTTTGTCTTGAGGGTTTGGGGTTGGGCTGAAGGACTCGGGATGTTGGGGAGTAGTGACATATGGGAGAAGTGCGAGGGGGAGCTTCGGAATCGTCGGTTGATGGGTCCGCCGACGATCACCCCAAAACAGGCCGTGGCTTCCCTCAAACACCCTAAACCCTAAACCCTAAACCCAAAACCCTAAACCCTAAACCCTAAACCCTACACTCCTGCAGTCGGGCAGTGCAAACGCATTTTTTGAGGCTCGCTGGGTCGCTGGGTCAACTCAGCAGGGCATCTGCTGACACGGCTTCGACTCAGGCTCAAGCCTAGGCATGTACAGATTATGCTTGAGGGCTTGGGGGTTTGGGGCTTAAGGTGACGGTTTCTCTTGGTTTACGCTTAGGGCTTCGGGGAATTAGGGTTTAGGGCTACGGCTTGAGGGTTTCGTTTCACAGGTACTTCGCAACCAAGGAAATCTTCTATGGAGCTATATAAGTATCAAATTACTGCATTGCCTCTTGCCACCCACGTGATGCAGAGTACATCACGAAATGGTTGCGCTCGACCACTGTCCAGCCACGAGAGCAAATACTTCCTCCTCCTACCGTGGCGGGTCATGAAGAGTGCCCACTTACTTCAGCCCACGTTCTACGTTGGAAATACGTAGCACGCCGATGCAGTACGGTACGGTTCTACCGTGCTAACCTTTGGCAAAGCAGGTCCGGAGAGCAGTCTGACTCGCGGCTGCCTTGTGGTCTCACGCTGTCTGCCTGGCTTTGGCACACAGAATGCCCCCAAAGCATGCGCAAGCAGCGGAAGCCCCTGCAACCCCTTGCTGCAAAACCCAAGCCCTCGAGTTCCTGCAAGAGATGATTTAAGTTCTTGCAAACGTTTTGATCTCGAACCCCGGAAACCTCAACCACCAAGCACCGAAAGCAGACGCAGTAAATCCTTAAAGCTTCGAAGCGCTGAAACCCTGACCACCCCCAGAAAGACGAAATCCTCAACCCTCAACGAGAAACTGGACTTCCAAAAAGCAAAAACCCCCCAGAGCTAAACACCTTCGTACAAAAAGCAAAAAAACCCCTAGACCAAAACACCTTAGTAAAAAAACTCAACCCAAAGAACACAAAACCCTTAACAACCCGGAGTGCGAAAATGAAAAAACTCTCGTGGGCTAACAAAACCCCCTTCTCTCCCACCCCCTCTGGTCCCTCCCTCCCCTCCCACGCCCTCCCCTCCCTCCTCTCCCCTTCACCCCATCCTTTGCAAATCATCTCGCGGCCTCTGTCGGATGTCTCCGGTGTGCCTGCGCATCATCCCACCAGCCTCTGCCAAAAGGGTTGCTTCAGGGAGGTGTTGCTGTTTTATGTTTTGGGTTGAGGGCTAGCGGATTGAGGGCTTCAGGGTAAGGCCGTGAAGAAGCTTCAGGGTTCAAGGTTTCGGGTTGCATCCAACTACCCAACAGAACACGCATGAATGCACGCAAATGCGTTGGAGAACAAAGAACCACGGAATTGCTGTTCATACTAGTTCATACTGTTACTTGTGCTTTTGCTATTGCTCGTACTCTTGCTATTGCTATTTTTCTTGCCTTTTTTCCATTGCTGGCGCTGGTGCTCGTGCTAATGTTAGTACGACTACGATTATCTTGCCTAATTACACATTGCTACTTGCTAACTGCTACTTGCTAACCTCTAACTGCTGATTGAATTGCTTATTAATTAAGTACTAATTACTTCAGTACTAATTTCTAATTAATAATTTCAAATTACAAATTGTTAATTACTAATTACTAAGTACTAATTGCTAATTATTAATTACCAATTACTAATTGCGAATTACTACTAATTGGAATTGCTACGATGACCACCTACTACCCTACTGCTACTACTACTGCTATTTCTCCTGCTGCTGCTACTACGACGACGACGCCGAACACTACCACCGGAACTACTAATAGTACTACGACGACGACTACTACTACAACTTCTACGACTACCAGTACTACTACTACTACTACTACTACTACTACTACTACTACTACTACTACTACTACTACTACTACTACTACTACTACTACTACTACTACCGCTACTGCTACTACTACTACCGCTACTGCTACTACTTACTACTACTACTTCTTCTACTACTACTACTACTACTACTACTACTACTACTACGACTACGACTACGACTACGACTACTACTACTACTACTACTACTACTACTACTACTACTACTACTACTACTACTACTACTACTACTACTACTACTACTACTACTACTACTACTATACTACTACTACTACTACTACTACTACTACTACTACTACTACTACTACTACTACTACTACTACTACTACTACTACTACTACTAACTACTACTACTAACTACTACTACTAACTACTACTACTTCTACTACTACTACTACTACTACTACTACTACTACTACTACTACTACTACTACTACTACTACTACTACTACTACTACTACTACTATTACTTCTACTACTTATACTACTGCTACTGCTACTACTACTACTACTACACTACTACTACTACTACTACTACTACTACTACTATTACTACTGCTACTACTACTACTACTACTACTACTACTACTACTACTACTACTACTACTACTACTACTACTACTACTACTCCTGCTGCTGCTGCTGCTGCTGCTGCTGTTGCTGCTGCTGCTCCTGCTCCTGCTCCTGCTCCTGCTCCTGCCCCTGCTCCTGCTCCTGCTCCTGCTCCTGCTCCTGCTCCTGCTCCTGCTCCTGCTCCTGCTCCTGCTCCTGCTCCTGCTCCTGCTCCTGCTCCTGCTCCTGCTCCTGCTGCTCCTGCTCCTGCTCCTGCTCCTGCTGCTACTGCTACTGCTACTGCTACTGCTACTGCTACTGCTGCTGCTGCTACTGCTCTGCTACTGCTACTGCATCTGCTACTGCATCTGCTACTGCTACTGCTACTGCTACTGCTACTGCTATTGCTACTGCTACTGCTACTGCTACTGCTACTGCTACTGCTACTGCTACTGCTACGCTAGAAGTTTAATCGTAAATGCGCTCGTCACTCTCGTCGAAAATACACATTATGATAATAAAAAGAACGAAGCGAGAAATCCGTTAAAACTGATTGAAGTCCTATTGCATAATAGAAAGAAATGCAATTAAATTGATTGAAATGCCAGGAAAATGATTGAAACCTTATTTAAACCGAAGCCAATTAAATTGAATAGAAATCTTGTTAAAGATATGTGAAATCCTTTGAAAACACGAGAAATCTCTCCCTCTCTCCCTCCCTTCTTTCCTTCTCTCCTGCTTTCTCTCCTTCTCTCCTTCTCTCCTGAAGGGGTGAAACGGAACGAGGAGTTGTTGACCCATGCCATGGTCGCACGTGGCACTAGACATCTCCTCCCAGGCAAACCCTGCGCTTCGAACTTCGGCGCCCAGGGTCAGGATTTTCTAGACAGTCTAGTATAATGCTTCAAGACGACCGAAGCCGGCGCAAGCCCTTTGTTTATCGCAGGCCTGCCCTACACAAGCTACTGTCTCCCCGCGCAGCTCAGAGCTTGGAACCTTGGTCCTTCTCTTGCCACTGCATGAGAGTCTGGGCAGAGGGGAGACGTGCTCGCTTGGCTGTAAGTAGAACTCACAGCTGGAAACCGTCTGTAAGCAGGAGATTCAACAGCTTGGCAGAAGATTACCAGAAACGGCGCCATGGATCGGACCGGAAACTGACCGAGAGCGGCCACAAAGTGTTAAAGTTTGCCTCAAGTTTTGGGGGGGTACCCCCCCCCAACAGGCGCGAGCATCATGAGCATCAGCGACCTGCCCCCGGGGCCACAGGAGGGCCCGGGCACCTCAATAAAGCCAGAAAACACCGTAAATACCGTGTTTTTCGTGTGTTTTTCGTGTGTTTCCACACACACCTCCTTTCGGGGCACTGCCGCGCCTCCACGGTGAGCATCATTGACGACGCCCGCGAGACGCACCCACGCGCGCGCATCATGAGCCCTTCATTTCTCCAAATGGGCCAACAAGAACAGCAAGCTTGGTAAGTGGGTGACCAACGCCTATCTGATTCTGACGCAAAGGTGAATCCACACTGCTGCATGTGCACATTCAGTGGCTTCTGAGGCAGCTGGCCGAGAGCAGTTTTGCGATGCAGGCAGCCAAGCAAGCTCTGGAAGAGTCCTTTGCCGTGGAGAGCGAGCTTCAATGTAGCAAACATAAACCTTGAAGGATGAGGATGGAGCTCTCCTCGACTCTGCAATGAAGATGCTCATGGGGTCCTGCCCGGAGGTGGTGAACAGCCGCATCCGAGCTAGCAGCAAGCAGATGGAAGGCTTAGGTGACAACAGCCCCCCGAGTGTTTTCTAGCAATAGCTTCAAAGAACCGTTTCAGGCACGTGTTTCCCACGCTGCGGAACGATTGGCGGGGCTACAATATCTGCCCTTTCACATGTCGAATCGATGAAAAGCCAGACCACGAAAAGTACACCCTAGCAGCGGAAAACTTGCCCCAAACCAAAAATCCAAACCAGCGACCAGCTAAGACCAAACCACACCGAACCAAACCAAACAACCAAATCAATCAAATGAACCGCAATGCCGCAACGCAAGCACGCCGGCCCAAAACCTGAAAAGAAGGTCAGTCACCTGACGACCTTTGCCGAACGCACGCCAACGCAAAGGGAAGAGGGGCGACGCCATAGGGCTTTCTGTTTTGATGGTTGAGGGCCGAGGGCCTGTGTATCGGTTCCAAACTTCACTGGGTGAATTTCCAAGGATCATGGAAGGTTTTGAAGGCCAGAGGGTCCAACTAGGAGAGTATGGGTTTCACCACCGTGGAACGTTTGTTGATTTTTTGGAAAAAGACGTGAAGGGTTTTGGCAACACGGTTTTCTTGCAGAGCTTTTTTTGCACGTCAATGCTGTCGCGCAGCCGACCTCATGGCTACAACAGTGCTCACAAAGGGGCAGAAAAAGAAACATTTCGCCAAAAGTGCCGTAGAGACCGACGATTCCGCTTCAGGCCCCACCTCGCACCCCCCGCAGAAACAGGCAAAATGCGCAAAACCAGCACTGTCCGTCATAACAAGAAACCAAGACATCGACGAACTTTGGCGACAGGATCACCAGAAGTGGCCGAAGCAAACGAGCAAAACATGATGTAGCTACGAGCGCGCGTGGTTTCATAGCCCAGTCACATTGTAGATAGCGTCTACCTGGACGCTCCAGCGCGCGATGGCCTCGGGGGAACTTGCGCGCCTCCGGGAACACCCGGATATCGGTGCACAGGAAGTACTTCCACCAGAAGACCTTACTGGGCTGAGCCGGAAGTGGAGCAAGAAAACGGAGTTTGATAACAAGATGACATAATCACAAAGCAAACAATGAATTAGATCCTACACCAGAAGAATGATGATTTTAAAACAAGAAGAGGAAAAGGTCTGCTTCAAAGGTCTTTCTATGACTACGTTGCTACCTTTCAACATCTTGAGGCCACGCGGCGATGTCCCGGTAGGCCTGGAACTCCGGGCAGATGTGCGGCATCATCACATTGGTCCCTGCATTTAACACGTTTTTTAACATGTAAACAAAACAAATAAGAAACAACAGCATGCCCAAACTTGCAGGGTTTGGGGCGTTAAGGGGCTTTAAGGGGGGTTTTGGGCTTCAGGGCTTTGGGAGGTGTATGCTTTCCCCGCAGGGTTTAGGGCTTCGGGGCTCTAAGAAAGCTTAGGGCTTTGATTTTCGAGGGTTTGCAATGTGGACACGCGCGGGTGGTCTCCTGCATGGTCAGGCAGGGGGAGCATCGAGGGCACCAACTGCTGATGACAGAAATGTCAGATCGCCTAGTCACAGTTACTGGCGGCTATTTGTCAACTCATTGTACATTGGCAGTCACGTCTTGTGATCTCCGCGTTGATCATTAGCACGATGCAGCACGTGTTGCTTCGAATTCTCGTTGCGTCCACTTTGGGACAATCCATGGTCGGGCCCGCTAGCGCTTTGCCCGATGGCCACGTTGCTTGGCCTCGGATTAAAGGGTTAGGCGAAGTTTTCATGTATAAACAAACTCTGCTATTGAAAGGTGATGCTTGACTTACATTTGGTATGGTTGAAGCAGTAGCGAATGATTGAAGCACGAGCGAATGATGAGAAGCCCAAAGAAGCAAAAACATGTTTTGGGGAATTTCGTTTGGGCCTCTTTGCGAAAGCGATAAGTCCCCGCAAGAATGCTTTGGAGACAAATCGTTTGCGTCC